ACATTTACCACAAATTAAATGTATCTTATATTATTAGATATATTATTATAAAACATGCTTTGGTTAAGGAGTTATTGATACTTCAAGTGCAAAATGATGATATAAAACCATGATAAAAATGCACTTTTAAGTACTAATCAAAAACATTTAAAATAAAAATTTTGTTTTTTGGGACTTTTAGAAAATATTATAGAATTAGAGGTCAAAAATCAAGTTATAAAAAACATATTTGGACATTTCTGAATAAGCATGTTAAAGTACTAGCACCATAACAAAATTTGTTTAATAGAATCAAATTAACATTTTCAATTAATGTGAACAGATATAATAAGTCTTCCTTTAACACCTCAAAAGATGGATTATGGACAAGTTGAAATTCAAGGCAAGTTAATTGAAGTTAACTTATTAACTAAAGATAAGCTTAAACTAATTTTTATAAGTGCAATTATACTAGAAAAACTTCAAAAGGAATTGGTGTCATTGTTATACATTTATAAAGATTGTTTTGCTTGGAATTATGATAAAGAAAAGTGATCTAACATAGAAACAAAAGTTCTTATAATTGACAAGAAGGTTTAGTTTTATTTAGTGTGGTTGATTTAGTTATATTTAATGTGGGTGTTCTTAGTAGATTTCTCTGTGAAAACTTTCAATACAGTAAATTAATCATTATTTGTAAATTAATATAGATTCATGTGATTATCAATATAAAGATAATAGTATAGTTCAATTTATATTAGGATTTATAATGCAGTCATCTCCTTATATTATTATAATATGAATAACACGAAACTCCAACACTATAACAATACAAAAGGCCACATTGTTGCTATGAACAATAGCTAGACTTATCAAACATGACATTGATACAAAAGGACTACGTGGAAAAAAAAAAAAAAAACAACAACAACAACTAGCAAATAATATTTTCATGCTAATTTCTAAACAAATTGATATGTAAAACTTTTGTCGGCCCATTTCTAGTGTTTGTATAGCATTATCTACCTTGACCAAACCGAACAAAGCCTTTAGACAAGACAAATCACCAAATGAAAATCATTCTCTGTCGGTCAGGTCTCAGCTTAGCAAACTATAAAACTAATATGTTTTCAGGGACTAAGAATATGCATGCCCAAGCCAATTAATTTTCCATCCAAAATTGATTTGATTTCCAAATCCAGTGGACATTAAATAATAATAATAAATAAATAAATAAATTTGCATATCTATCTTCAAGCTAAGCATCAAACTCACCTAAAAACATCACCTGCCAAAGCGATGGCGCAAAAAAGCAGGCATAACATAAATCAATCTCATTAAATAAAATTGAACTGCGTAAAAAGCATATTAAATACTATTATTCAGTCCAAAATAAAACCATCTTAAAAACACAGACGTGAATCCTCGGATTTCTGAAAATCCTAAAACAATTAAAACCCAATGTAACGAAAGAAACCTCAATTCTTGCCCTCCTCAAGCTCAAAAGCCGAAACAGGAAAAGTCCTGGAGATCCCTGTCGGATTACCAAACGTTATTTTCTCCAAATCCTTCTCATCAACATAAATATCCGAGATGGACACCCAAATCAAAAGCTCCTTGGTCTTGACCCCAGTCAGTCTCCGCATCCGACGGTTCTCGACGAAAGCTGTCACCTCCGTATCATAAGATACTTGGCGTCCGATCTTAAGGAATCTGTGATCTTTTCTCTTCTTTTGCCTCAACCAAACGAACCCGGTAGTGCGGTTATAACCCACCTCAATGATGTTGTCAAGTGGGAGGAGACCCATAGGGAGGTGGATCTCTTCGAGGAGTTCCAAGGACTGCTGCTTGCAGAGAGACTCGCCGGTGTGGATCTCTGCTTTTTCTCTGTGGGTTGCGATATGTTGAGAAGTCATTTTGGGATTTGCTTGGCGTCGCTTTTCCAGAGAACTTAAAGAAGCAAGAAAAGAAGTGTTGAGTTCCTCTTGATTAAGGGGATATTTAGGTGTTCTCCTTTTTTGTTATCTATCCATCTCGGTGAAAAAAAAAACTAATTTCAATAAAAAAATAAATTTTCAAAAAGTTGATTTTTTTATGTTAAATAATATTATAAAAAATAAGTTGATAAATAGTTTTTAGTATTGAGTTATTTCATCAAAAAAATATTTTTTTAATTTTTTAATTTATTTATTAAATTTATTAAAAAAGTAGAGACCAAATCTAAAAGGTAACAAAGTTTATAAAAAATAAAATTAAAAAAAATTTAATTTTATAAATTATTTTATGTAAAATAAATATCAATTAAAATAATATAAATTAAATTTGATAAATAAAAAAAATTAAAAAGTGAAGTTAAAAAAAAATTATTTTTATAAATTATTTACTACTCTTGAATTACACAAATCCTTTCAAGAAAACATATAAAACGTCTATTAATTTTAATTTCATTTATTTCCTTTTCTTTCGGTTTCCCATAAGCTTTCTTCACTTTACATGTAAGATTATCACCATCATAAATACCTTAAAAATCTAGTCAATTCTTTTTTATTTGATAACTTATTTATATATTTTTCAACCCTTTATTTGACTCATTTATCTTTACTCATTCATATCTTTTCCATCATATGTATTTTTATGCTCTATTTTGACTCATTTGTCTTTTTTCATCATTCTTTTTTGATAACTTATTTCTTATTATGTCATCTACATATTTTCCATAATTTCTAAATAATTACTTATTTCTTTTTTCATGATTCATGCGGCAAATTCATGTTAAATATTTTTCTATCCATAGCCACCAATATCATCACCGTTACAGTTCATTATGAAACGTATCATCACAGTGAATTATTGTTAATTATGATTTACATATGAATATTTGTCGGTTGTTTACAATATTTTTGGCCTTGTAGGTATAATTTTGGCATGGCAAATAGTTATACATAACTACTTTTTACACTACATAAAGTTCCTTAACTAATATATGACCAGCCAAATAACAAGGGATTGCGATTATTATTTTTTAATTTGTTCCACTTCCAAGTAAATAAAAGCAACATTGTTATGTCTGAATTGAGATTAGAATACTTTTCAGGATTTGCATTTGGTGTTAGTTAAGATTAAGGTTAGTGTTTGAATTTGAAGTTTCGGGCTAAAATTTGAGATTAAGGTAGTTTAGGGTCGGCATTTGGGGTTACTTAGGATTTAGTTAGAGTTAAAATTTAAGATTAAAGTTAGGATTTAAAAAACTACATTTCCCACCTATGATTTCTAAAAATAGCAGTTCTCACCTGCATTTTTTTTTCAAAACTCGTAGCTGAAAACTATAGTATTTTAAAACTTGCGGTGAAAACTGTATATTTTGTGCTATTTTTCAAATAAATTTTTAACCATTAAAATATTTTTCAAAGTGTGTTAGAAGGGAAAAAACACCCCAAATTTCTGCAAATCATGTAACTTCTAGCTGCTACCTTTGATGTCACTCAACTAAGAAAAAAGAATGTTTTGCCTTTTCTTTATACCGCTTTTTACTCTAAACTGTCCAGGGACTATTCAGGCAGCAATTGTATGGTAAGGGAGTGCCTACAAGAAGGTAGTTGGGACATGGGAGAGACTAACATATCTAGCAGATGCCAAAAATCATCAATCCTTGATCTCTAGATCCTCTGTCAGGTTCTCAAAATTTCTCAACTGAACCAACTAGGGAAGAAGGATAGCTTGAATCATCAACTTGATCATGGAACCTCTGCCAGGTCCAGTACCAATAATCGCCAGGATACTCTCTAGTCTCTCAAGCCTCTGAATTACAGCCCCAAGAAAACCAGTAAAATTGAATCAATTTGGTGATTTAGACTCTGCCAGCTCTTTTATAAGTGTGCCAACATTATCTGATGACTGAAGGAGATATCGAGCATCCGATTGCTTCCGGGAAACAGTACACGAGAAGAAATTCTCAGCCTTGAGATCAAGTACAGATGAGCCCTCTGGCAATGACATTCTATCATGAACTATAGGCCGCCAAGCAGCACTTCGATAATTACTCCTTTCCAAAGTTGACAATGAGCGTTGTTTCCTTAACTGATGAGCCTTGACTTGGTTTGTACTGTCTGGAATCATTGAAATAGATGTCCTCGCAGGATCTAGTGACCTGGTTCGTGCTAATGCTAGTGATTCACAAGGAAGCTCTGGCTCAAAAAATGTATAGACATCTTCATCCTGAAGCAATAAATTCCAAAAAAAAAAAAAACCATTAATTTCTGATATTTGTATTTCAGTAGAAGTAGCGTGTTTATATGCATCCATGCATCTGAATAGAACAGACAATGCAATGTTTTGGTATAGTCTTGAGAGTAGGACATTCCGCAAAATAGTTAATGCGACTTGGATGTATCTTAGACCTGATTATAGTGAATGGCAGCTGGTAGAACATGCTTCAAGGTTGAAAAGAAAATAAAAGAAAAGGGAGCACTGTGTGTGGAACTGGATCATAAACTTTCAAAGGATACAATAGAAATAGCAAACCCGATGTAACTAAAACATGGGCTGTTCTGGTGGGTTAATTTGGAGTAAACGGCACCATCCTGCTGCCATGAAGAAGACAATCGTTTGCATCGCAAGACCCATTATAAGCTGCTGTTTTAACCACTGATTCAACAAAAAGCTTTGGATTTGAGGTAATGGCAGTTTAGTGTATGGTTTAAAAAACAAGTATTCAAAGGATAAAAAGTTAGAGGAAGATAAATATGTGGCTGGCTAAGAAACTCTTTGGTCTCCATCTTCTATGGACGTGCTTTATTGGCATGATCGATTTGCGAATGGATTAGTGAAAGACGACCAATTTCTATCTAGTTCCATGAGAATGGCATCAAATCCCGCTATAGAGGCATTAGTGTCTAAGGAACTTTTAACTAACTTGAGCATGGATGCTAAAGTTTCTGTTGCCACTAGCTTGAGTCAGGTTTTGAGTACAACTGCCCTAGCTAGATGCTCCTTATAGTGATGGCCAGATGATGGAGATTTTTCAGCTTATTTTAGCAGTATTAAAAGATGCCTCTAATACTTCAAGTCGATTGGTTCGTAAGCACACTTGGATAATTGAAATTATTGTCAGGGCTAAACTTTATCTTTCGATGCTAGATCTCAAATGTAACTCTGCTTGGGAATATGCTCAGGTGTTTTTTTGACAAGTTCCATTATAAACAGCTATCCCAAAGGTATGTTCTTGCACATGGAGTCTATGATGTTTGAGATTTTCAAGGAATTTGATGAAATTCCAATGGAACTAGTCTTTCTTCTTTTAGATAAATATGAGATTGGATAACTAAGTTGTCTCATATAGTGCACTTAAGCTAGTTGAGAGTGTTCTTATCAAATGCATTTCAAGCTTACTCCTTATATAAAGCAGTGCAATTAGGCTTTCCTATTGATCACTATAATAAAGTTCTCATTGATAACTATGTCCAATCCAAACCATTGGAGTCTAGTGACAACCTGACTACAGGTGAAGAGATTGAACATGACCAAGCAGAGCTGAAGTTAGAGAATCGAGAAGTTGTTGTCAAAGCTACTCGATGTCAACTTTTAACCAAGAGAGAATGATGGGGATGAAATGAAGGACAACAATAAGAATTAATATTTATTTAGGAATTTTAATACTGTATCATTATTCTATATTTTATTACTCAAGGATATTAGTATTTATTATTTATTAGTTAGATTAGAATTTTAGTTTCCCTATTGAATTAAGATTTATTAGGTTTTCCCATTTTGTTTGGTTTGAGGCATATAAATAAACACCGAGACATTAGTTTTTCAAAGCATACTATTATTGTTGAAATAAAGATGTTGAATTCCCAGGGTCCAGTGTCTCTCATGGTTTGGTCTCTTCAAAATCAAGTGTCTCCTTGTTGGTGATTTTGATTTATGTTCTGAATTAACTATCTATAGTGATCTTGTTTGCGTGGTTCAACATCAGTGTTACTAGTTAAAAAAAATATAGAATATAAAATTAAATTGGATGCTTATCATATCTCAAATATTAATACATTTGGCAAAGTAAAACCTGCTCAAAGATTATGTGTAGGAAAACAGACCTTACTTAGAAAGTGCCCAGCACAAAGGACATAATCAATCGGCGATTTCATTCCCTTGTTACGAACTATTTCCCCTAAAATACGATCAATTGCTGCTCCCTGTATGTAAATGAAAATATCCATGGGAAAGACAAACAAGTCAATCTGAAAAGGTCACAAAGCAGGTATGCGGTGTACAGCAGCTAATCCTGTTGTGTATACCTTTGTCACACCAACAGATCGAACCTCAACAGATCGATCACCTTGGACAACATCAACAGCTGCGTTTGAAATAGGACCAGTCCAGAGATGCTGTAGCATATCCTTTGATTGAAGCTTTCCAAAATGACTCTCTAAAAGATTTAAATATTTAAGAAAATAAAAGGAAAAAGAAATGTTGTTGTTAGGACATCATCATGACAAAGTGTGATCCCATGCTATTCAGAACTTAAATGTCTGTGCATATGTGCATGTAAGAGATGACACACAGTACAACAGATGCACACAAATTTGTGCATGCAAAAGTTCAAACTTGAAAGTTTAGAAAAAGAGAGAACTAAAAAAAAAAAAAAGCGGTTAAGTACCTGCATACTTGTATTTCCATACAAGTGAAGTTTCACGAAGCTCAAAATGAGATCCAGGTGTTCTTTCTGTAAAATACTCGAAAACATGCTGAAATCATGAATTAGCATCTGGCATTTAGAGTCTAGAGAACCTGTCATGGAAAGTACTAAGTTTTAAGGTATGATATATTAACCTTAACACTGTCAACCCAATCCATATTCAAATTTTCTGGCATTGTTGTCATCCATTCTCCTGTACTATGGCGTAAAAACATCCCATTTTCTGCTGCCAACCACAAATTGTATTCTCGAAAATTCTGTATAAGAAGTTGTTAGTTCAAAGGCATAATATGGAGGCAAGAAAAGGGTAACTAAAGATATGA